TTTAATTAAAGTTTGTAATGTATTTTTAATATTTGATGATATTTTTTCTGGTAGTGGTGGAGGATAATTGTGAGTGCCAATACATATAAGAGCAACAAAAGGACAGCTTGATATATCCAATGGAATAATTTTAATAAAGCACACTGAGCATAATTTTTTAATTATTTTTCCTCTAATAACTTGACCATCTTTAATATAAGGAAATTCTACAAATAATTAATTTTAATTAAACTATAATTAATTATTATAATTTTAATATAAATTTAAATTTACCACATTGTTTTCTTTTGCAGCTTCATGAAACAATTGAAGTACAGATTGCTTGATCTTTTTCTTCAATTAATTCACCCATAAATAATTTTTTTAATAAAGTCAAATCAACTTCATTTGTATTAATTTTAACAAAACAATGCCATTTATCTTTTGGCTTATATTCAATACATCCAATGAAGTAAGATGTAGTATTTGTTAAATAATCAACAATTTTTCCAAGTTTTGCTAATCCTGAACAAAGAATACCATTATACTGAAACTTGCATTTAGATTTACTTGTAGCTAAATATGTTCTTTAATAAATAATTAAATTAATTTATATTATATATTTTATTTAAAAAGCAATTAAAATAAATATAAAATTACGTATAGGTTTTTATTTTTTTGCTATTTTTTTCTTGATCTACAGTCATTTTATGATAAAAATTCAAATTAACATCAACATTATTATGAACAGTATTAAGATATACTTGGTCACTAAATTCACAATATTTAATGCCCTGACATCTTTATTCATCTTTTTTAACAGAAATAGTTCCAAAGAAAGGACAACTTTGAATAATAGATACACCACCACGGCCATTACAGTCAGGGATTTTTCAAAGTTGTGTAATGCAAATCATTGCGTTTTTTGGTAAAGATTTGCAATTCCGTAGTACAAATTTTGGCCAAATTTTGGCTATATTATTGACTGCATTATTACACTTATGTTATTTAGTGCAAAACCGCCTTATAAAGCCTCAGGGATCCCCAGGGATTCCTAAACTACATATCCTTAGGATACTTTTTGTAAAAAAAATTTAAAGGATTTTTTAAAACTGATGGTTATTTTCAGATAATAAAAAATGCTTTTGTTTTTTCAATTGAAATTGGGTTTTAGAATATCCTTCTAATATATTTGCAGATCATTTCTATATTGCGTATAATCCTAGACTGCATTAATCGAATATTGAATCTAAATAATAATATTATATATAATTTAAAATTATTATATATTATAAGCTTATTAATAAAATAATTTAAATTTTTTTTACATTATTAAATGTGTCCATATAATTCTCCCAGCCAGTAATATTAAAAATAGTTGCAACTCCATCTTTAGATGTTGCAGGGTACTCTATAGGTAATGCACTATGGATAATTTGATTTGCATATAATTTTTTTGTAAAACATGCCACTTCTTGTAAATCTTGATTTTCATTTATATCACTCTAAAAAAATACCATAAGTAAAGTATATTTTAAATATTCCATTTTATGAATTTAATAATATTACAGTATCCGAATCTAAATCTTCATGAAACTATGCTTCATTATATTCATCAATGTCTAAATTGGAAAATTCCTTTGTAATACCAGTTTTTAAATTATAATTTTCTTCGGTAGTCAAATCCAAATCTGATTCCATTAGACAAAGGTTTATTTAAAAAAATGCAGAGAAGAAATGAAATAATTGTCGACACACATATATATATAATATACTTTATGCATCATTGATTAATCATATATAATGGTATCGCAAAGAGAAAACTACATGTCGGGTTATCAAAAGAAAATTGTGCTTCAGATTTTAAACTAATAATTTATTAAATAAGATTTCCCAAATTAAATTATAGACTTAAAAGCTTGCAGCACTTAATAATATATTATATATCATATATATGTACATATTTTGTTAATCATACATTACATCATTTTAATAGCAAATTAATATTTCTATACATACATACTTTATAAAATATACACTACATATTTACTATATACTCCATCAGGTGGTGTCCATTGGCCATCAGGTGGTTTCCATCTATCGTACGTACGTATGTTGTAAAAGTGAGAAAAATAATATAAAACTAATAACTATCTAAAATCTATCTAAACAACACTAAAATCCTAGCAGTGGACAAAGCCGTGGCTCCAAATATGGAAGGCTATGATCGAGGCGTGGAAAAACTTGGTCCGAGTTTTTGGTGCTTCAGGCTTTGTGGGGGTATAAGATAAGTATATCCTTCAGTTTTTACTGTACTTTTAGGTAGCTATTACCAATAGATAGTTAAAGAAAATACTTTTTTCGATATTCTGTATAGTAAGGCTTTGATATTAAATCGCAATCTAACGATTATCACGTGGTCACGTGTTAACGAAATCGGATCTTCGTTAACTTCGATTATTTGACATAATAGTCAATAGTGATTTTTAATAATGACGGAATTTGATTAAGGGTCTGATTTGATTTTGGTATTTAAACGAATTTCAATTACTAATTCACAATCTTTTCTCTATTTTACTCAAATATTCGCTCTGAAAGTATAACAGGGACAAGAAAAATACGATAAATCGGGTTTTAACTTAAGAAATTTCGGGAAGTAAAAAGACACTTTTATTATGAACAATTTATTATAAACGGATCAAGGGTTTTCTAACTACCAGAGAACCAACTTCTTACTTTTTCAAAGACTGTGAAGTATAGAACTCATACGAGTTGGAATTTTATTACGGCAAAAAGTTAGGTCTTATATACCTTTGACCTTTACTGCGTACATGAATACTTTTCACTAACTTTTGCTATTCTAATATATTGTTAGATTCTACTTTTAGTCACTTTAGAATAAAAGAAGCAGGATGGGGGCGAAATTGCATCTGGCTTATACAACCAGAGACAAAATTGTACCAGGTGCCAAACTGCCCTAGGTGCAAATTTGCCCCAGGTGCGAATTTGCACCAAGGTACGAATTTCTAATTTTAACCATGCGTATATTTCTAACTTCGTGAATAAAAAAAATAATAATAATAAAAATAACATGATAATAATAATAATAATAATAGACGGAAATAACATAATTGAATATACTAATAGAATAAAATAATAAAAAAAATTCTAGGTCACGGCTTTCCGGCCTCTTTACAACGTACGCACATACATACATACATACTGATTAATATAATTAACTTTTTATTACTATTATTGACTTTTTAACTTTTTTCCATATTAATTTATAATATTACCTTTATTGGATTTTCTTTATGAACTTTCGTGCATATAATACTATAATATTATTTTAAGCGTAGCGACAAAACTGGTGTTAATATAACGATATGAAATTATCTAACGATTGAAAAAAGTTTCAACAAATAAATATCTACTGCTAAATAAGAGGGAATTTTTTTTTAAGAATGTCATATATAGTGATGTGCCATTTATATGATACCTGAAAAATTTTAGCGTACAGTACGTACTGTACGTACTGTACGTACTGTACGTATAGTTCTTTTCTGGCATCTGATTGGCTGGCAAAAGTGATCGGCAAAAATTTTAGCGTACAGTACGTACAGTACGTACAGTACTGTACGTATAGTACTGTACGCGGCACATCACTAGTCATATATCAACACAGTTCTAATTTCTTAACGATTTTCAAGAACTCTTTTTGATGGATAGATATTTTTTTTAACAAATTTTTTTTTTTTTTTTTTTTTTTACGGAGAATGATTTCAACGTGAAACGAAAATTTTCTAATTTAATTTCTTTGATGACATTTCAATGATCATTGGATTTATACTTGGGATTCTTTACCTGAAGTTCTAAAAATGATGCTTCCTTAACCGTATACATATTTAATCAAAAACTTTAATCAATTACCATCTCACCGGACAGTTGAAAACTTTAAGTTGATTTGTTAACATAATATTAACAGCAACGTGATGCTACATATATTAAAAGTGGTGCTATGATACGTGTTCAGGTAGAATCTGTCAAACGTCATAAACTGGAAGGGTCTAGAGTAAGAAAGTCGGGTATTAATGTAAATAGAATGAAAGAAAATGTTGATTCTCAAACTATTCTGTCCCGAAAAAATGAAAAGTTAATAAAAAAGAACATAATTTGGGTGGGAATGTTGCAAAAAATCAATTGAGTTGAATTATATTAGTTAAAAATATTGTAACTGAATTTATTTTTAACTTGGCATATTTTTATATTCTTGCTAAACTTGTGAAATTAAATTTGCATAACTTTTTTTAATTATCCAACTTAATAATCTCGATCGCATTAATAAATCATGCGTTAGGTGTGGCTGACTGCGCAACTAACCTGGCACACATTCAAGACGTGCACGTCAATAAAAGTTTTACGTAGTGAAAATGACGTATGAGTTTTTCGGATCAATAAAGATTTTGTGAGCTGGTTTATAAGCTTTATAATTACTAAAAGTGAATAGAATATTTAATCAGTTTTTATAATTTTTGATACAGAACCTCGTTATCGACAATGACCTATTTCTTTATTACAAATTTATTTTATAAAAACTTTCTAGCAAATATACATTGGAAAGCTTAAAAACTGAGACTTTTGCCAATAATGTTAACAAATTGTATAATAGTACATAGAAATAAGCAGTAGAGGCATCCGTGTTTATGTTCCTTATGATTTTTTGTATTTGCAAAATTTTAAACATTTAATAAATCGCTCGGAATCGATAAAGCTACTCAAACGTTAACTAAATCCTTTCCTTTGATTTATCTAACAACTAGAATATCAAAAAATCATAACTCTTAGAATGATTTAAGAATACGGTTATACGTAATAGCTATGCAATAGAAAATCGCATCTAGAAAAATTTCGAGAACTCTTTCAGCTTTAATAGAACTAATATCTCTATAAATACACGCTTATATACAGCCTTAAAAAATACTCAGTGAAGGTTTTCAATATCCTTGATTTAAAAATTCAAATCAGTTTTTCAAGACTTGAAATACTTCAAATTCATCAATTAGAAGACTACGAACACTCCTAAGCCGCTTTTCATAACGTAAATCATTATGACGATAAGACCATACCTTACTATCATTTAGCATATAAAAATCACCACCAAATTTTGGACCAAAATGGTTATAGCATCTAATCGCTCCATCTGAATAAATAACTCTACTAAGGATGGAATTCGTTAAATTTTGGGATTTCAATGAAAAAATAAAACCATCTGTAGTTGTAAGCCATTCACCCTTAGACGTCCAGACTAATGGATTATATCTGCAAAGTATTTCATTTGAGCCATTAACCTTTATAATAACCACGGTGCCAGGAATATTATCACATAACCTATGAAATAGAGTTGGTCCCGAAACCACGTGATGCTAATTTGTCACATGCTAGTACTTATAAAAAATCAAAATAGATCGTCGATTTTTATAAGT